CTTCATATACTCCAGGTGTTTTTGAATCAGTACTGTCAGGTTAGCTAATTAGAATACAGATGAGGGATGTATCTGACCTGTAATGCTTCATTGTTTCTGCAGACTAAAATATAATGAAATATGTTTTCCTCCCATTGGACAGTAATGAAGAATAAAACTAATTTGCTGGCCCAAAAATTAATTAGACACATCAAGTTTTATTGTACTTATAATTGTGAAAATTTACAGCTGTTTCTCAAATTATTATACCAACAGTAGGAATCTGCACAACTGTTATGGGGAGAAAACCCTTATAAGGAAGCCACAGGCAGTATTCTCATTGCATTTAAAGAAAATGTATTCTCACTTTTTTCCACCTTGATTGCTACTTTGAATGGGTCTATTTTGTCCTATTAAGAATAAATTTTACTGTTTGTTATGTTTGACATCTACTTTAGTAGTATAATGCTTCTAAATGCTTCCAGATTAAGGTCCTTCTGTTGTTATTTTATTCATGGAATTCAATTGCTATCTATTTGTAACTCACCCATATTTCCTGTCACATTTCTTCTAGAAAAAAAGATTTTCACATTTACCAGCCTTTCTGTTTCCTAAGCCATGTAAATTCTGGGTTGAAAGCATCTAAAATAGTTTGTAAATTCCCCTGCCATAGCCAGTACTTTCAGTGAGAAATGCTAAAATATTTGCAATAATTGCCAAACTTTCATTCCTCTTCATTCACATTCACCAGTCATATGGCGAGGATTCAAAGAAATATGGAAGAATCAGAATGTATATGACTTTTCTGTTTCTCTTTGATGTATTCATTTTTAAAATGTACTTTTGTGTAGCTTTCTTTTTTTTCATATTCAGCAGAACAATACCATATATCATGAGTTCAGGCTGAGCTTTACATGCTGAAATTTTGAATGATGTCTGAAGGTAATAAGGAACTGGATGGAAACAACTAAATTTAGATTGAATCCTACCAAGAAGAAATAGTTGTTTAATAATAAGATAGAGAAAGATCTCTATCTTGAGATTATTGTTCTTAATGGGATTCTGCTCTCCCCAAAATAATTCATGTTATCTGAAGATCCTACTAGATAAATAGCAGGTAGAATTTGTTGTTAGAGGCTTTTGTCCCACTCTGTACTTTATGGCTATACCTGGCCTAGATAGCTCTTGCAACAGTAACTCATGCCTTTATCACCTTGCAGTTGGATTACTGTAACACATTATGTAAGCAGTTGTCTCAGAAGCCACAAAACTGCTACAGAATAAGGCAGCCAGGCTTATCTCCGTCCTGTCCCGTTCATATCAGAAGCACTGTTCAAGGCGCTTCCAGGTTGAAAGGATTAACTGGTGACATCACTGTTGCCTGGGCCATACCTGTGAGGGCTCCTTTCATGTCCCCATCAAGGAGCTAGAGCAAATGATGGGAGCTCACCCTACCACATACCAACATTTGGGTCTCGAATGCGGGCTTGCTAACCTACAACCCAGTACCACAATGTACAGTCAGTATTGAAAGGATCACTTCTCTCCTATTGCATCTAAATATCCCATCAGAAGGAGAGACATGCTTTGGATCTCATCTAATAAGGAATATCACTAGGCAGGACCCAGGAAGGTAGCCTTTTCTGTCATAGTGTCTACACTTCTTTGGAACCTTTTCCCTCCAGATTTAAGATCAGGTTGAATTTTCTAGCCTTCTGTAAACCTTTAAACGCATGGTTGCATCACCAAACGTGGAGTTCTGTGGAAAGGTTGTAGTTCTGACTATTTACCTACACTCCTCAGAGGCATGAGGTGAGATGGGCAACTGAATACCTGCAATGCAATACCTTGGGTGTTACATGGAAAGCCTAGTGAGATGTATAAATAAGTTTTATTAGCATACTACAGATACTGGAACCCATGGTGATAGATGACTTCACCAAGTGGCTTCAGGTGGATGTTAAATAGGTCCAGAGATACTACAGATCCAGAGCTAGAACTATTTTCAATAAAAAATAAACTAACCAGTCTAAAGGAGAGAACTACTACAACACTGTGTTTCCCACCTCTAGCCCATGAAGCCAGTCCAGAAGGATATTGTATTGGATGATATCAAAGACTACTAGAGATGAAGGAAGGCCAGGATTGAAGAATCCTCACCCTTGCAGTCTCTCCACAGGCCATCAAGAAATGCAATTGGTGCTTTCTTCAGTACTATATTATGGTCTGAGTCCTGAAAAGAGTACACAGATAATCTGATTTGTTCAGTACTCCCTGGATCTGCAATTGGCCATAGTCTCTACAACTTTCCACCAAAAACGGAAAATTGGAGATCCAATTAAAATAGTCCAGTATAATTGAATATAGGGAGATTTAGGATCCCTAGAGCTTATGCTCTCCAGAAGATTCCTATAATCAGTTATTAGTGGAGCAGCACCTCTGAAAGCCAATAGACCTTTTTTATGATTATAGCAACTCCACCATTTTGCCTTGGGATTGTGAATTGTGTCACATGTCCAGCCAGATATTAGAAATTCATGTCAGGTTAACCTTCTCATTCAATATTGGATCACAGTTGAGGAATGCTTTAAAATAGACTAATTTGGCATCCAATAATAGCCAAAATCCAAGATCACTCATAACTGAATTATAAGTCATTGGGGTCAAGCACAGGGACTAGAACATAGAACTCATATAACACACTAAAACGGTCTTCTCTAAGAGGGGCCTACTCCCTTTTGGCCCCTATCTCCTCAGATGTAGTAGGCTTCTATTCACTGTCCTTCTTCCAAGGCAACAACACCAACTATTACCCCAATACCACAAACATCTCACCAGCTTGGTAACTGGTTCTTCAGGTTGCTTCTGTCCAAGCACTCAGCATCCCTACTCATATTAATATTCACACTGGCTCTTATACAAGTCATGTGGATTGTGGTTCACATAACCTACTATGCATCTGAAATTACTTTGTGTATTTTCTCTTAAGCTTTTTATTTTGTTTCATTTTTTGATACAGTGGTGCCTAAAAGTTTGGGAACTCTTTTGAATTTTCAATATTATGCATAAATATTGACCTGAAATGTGATTTGTTCTTCACACAAATCCTAAATCTGGATAAAGAGAATCCAATTAAACAAATGAACAAAACATTATATTTGTTATTTTATTTATTGAGGAAAATTATATAAAGCTGCATATTTCTATGTGCCAAAAATATGTGACCAAACCTCTAGGATTATCAGTTCAATTGAAGAGAAAATTAAAGTGTTTCAATCAATGGGATGATAATCAACTACCTTATTTAAAGAACAGAATTCTGAGTATTTCTATTAAAATCTGATCTACACAACCCAGTATGTGAAAATATGTCATGCTTGAACAAAGATTTCTGAGGACCTACAAAAAACAATTATTGATGCTTATCAAGTTGGAAAGGGTTAAAAAACCATTTCCAAAGTGTTTGAACTCCAGTAACTCACTGTCAGGCAAATTGTACAAATGGGAGAGAATTCAACAACATTTTTCCTTTCCTCAAGTATGGTCCACCAGCCAAATTGTTTCAAAAAATTCCCAGGGTAACATCTAAGAAACAACTGGCCTCTTTTGCATTAATAATGTTAGAATTTAGTGAGTTTATTACCAGAAGAATACTAGATAACGATGGTGGATATGGCAGGGCTCCAAGAGAAAGCCACTACTCCCCCCAAAAAAGAATGTTGTTGCCAATCCAATTTGCAAAAGACTGGTGGATAAACCAGAAAACTATTGGAAGAATGTTCTGTAGGAGAATGAGACCAAAAAAGAACTTTGTTACTTGAATTAAAACAGTAAACACTGCATTCCAGTACAAGAAGCAAATCCAATCTTTGAAACATGGCAGTGACAGCATCATGGTTTCAGCCTATGCTTTTTGGCCTTTGGCTTACCATCATAGATGGAACCAGGGGTGGGATCCTACTGGTTTAACAACCGGTTCACTAAGCACCCCAACCATCCAAATCATACTAACAAAGAATGGTTAAAGCATAAGAAACTAATATTTTGGAATGGTCACATCAAAGTGCTATGACCTTAAAGAAATGCTATGGAAGTACTGAAGTGGATAGTTCATGCAAGGAAGCCCATAAGTACCCCTGAGTTGAAGCTCTTCTTAAAATGCCTCCAACCTGATGTGCAGGATTGATCAACAATATCAAAATATTACTTGAACATATTGCTGCCTAAGTTGATGGGAGGGTGCAGACCAGTTACTGAAACAAAGGTTCACATACTTTTGCCACACAAAAAGAAGTTGCTTTCTATCATTCTTCTCAATTAAAAAGAAACAGGTGTAAAGTTTTTGACTCATATGTTTAACTGGGTTTTTTTAATCTACTTTTAGGATATGTGTAGATAACAATAACATTTTGGGTCATATTTATGTAGAAATACTGGAAATTAAAATAGGCTCGCAAACTTTTAAACACTATTGTATATCAATGAAAAGTTTCTAAGGCAAGCTTTTAGGCTTGCCTCAGGTCATGAAATTAATTCAGTATGATTAGCAAAAACTTTAAAAGAGAGACATGGTATTTACCAGTTTTTCCTTTATCTGGATTCAAACCTCCTTGTATTTTGGCAGAAAACAGAAGAGACCATCTGCTCAGAATAATTGATAAACAGTAAACCTCAAATGCTCAGATAACATACTTTAAACATGGCCTTGGGCACCAGTAGCATAAATAAGAAAATAATGTAGTAATCAAAACAGTCAGAAGAGATAGCTTTTGTTAGCTATTCTATAAATCTATCAAACTGGTGAAGTGAAAAATTCATAATGCAATGTTATTTTCACACAATAATTGATGTTTGTAATTTATTTTAGTAATACAGGCACTTCTCTGTTTTAGTTTTAGAAAAAATTATAAATAGAAAATATTCAACCATAGCTGTACCTTATATTTTCAGTCAGGATTCACGGAAGGCATAGCAAAATGTAATTACTTAAAACAGAGTGGCAGGACAAAGGTATTACTTACCGATTATTATAGGTTGTGGTTCACTTTTAACTCCAGTGCCAGCACTAGTACTTGCTGCAACTTCCACTCTGTACTGAATCCCTGGATATAGGCCTCCAATAATTACAGACCGGATAGCTGCATCAACAGTCTTGTTGATATGAAATTTTGTTTCATTACCCAAGCACCATATCTGGAATACAGAAGTATTTGACAAAATATGACAAAATAACATTTAACTTCTGCCTGAGAAAACGAGAATAATTTCTATCTAGATCTAGCCTGTTTTCTCTTCCATTTAAGCATAATGTGTATTGCAAAATGGAATAATTTATTTTGGAAATTTATTGAAGAGACGATTTGATATCAAAACAGAACAAAATAAAACACATACTGTACCTATAAGCTATATCTTTACAGTAATAATTAGCTTTTTAAAAGGATACATTATCTTCACCTAATGTATTCTAAAATAATACTTATAGGATAGACTAGAATAACAAAGTTGGAAGGGAGGTCTTCTAGTCCAACCCCCTGCTTAGGCAGGATACCCTACACCACTTCAGACAAATGGTTATTCAATCTCTTTTAAAAAACTTCCAGTGTTGGAGCATTTACACCTTCTGGAGGCAAGTTGTTCCCCTGATTAATTTTTCTAACCGTCAGGAAATTTCTCCTTAGTTCTACGTTGCTTCTCCCCTTGATTAGTTTCCACCAATTGCTTCTTGTTCTGCCCTCAGGTGCTTTGGAGAATAGCTTGACTTCCTTTTCTTTGTGGCAGCCCCTGTGATATTGCAACACTGCTATCATGTCACCCGAGTCCTTCTTTTCATCAGACTAGACATACTCAGTTCCAGCAACCGTTCTTTAGATGTTTTAGCCTTCAATCCCCTAATCATCTTTGTTGCTTTTCTATGCACTCTTTCTAAAGTCTCAAAATCTCTTTTACATCATGGCGACCAAAACTGGATGTAGTATTCCAAGTGTGGCCTTAAAAAGGCATTATAAAGTGGTATTAACACTTCATGTGATCTTCATTCTATCCCACTGTTTATGCAGCCTAGAACTGTGTTGGCTTTTTTGGCTGCTGCAACACACTGCTGGCTCATATTTAAGTGATTGTCCACTAGGACTCCAAGATCCATCTCACAGTTACTACTATTGAGCAAGGTACCACACATGCTGTACCTGTGCATTTTGTTTTTCTTGCCTAAATGTAGAACCTTACTTTTTTCTCCATTGAATTTCATTTTGTTAGATAGCGCCCAGTGTTCAAGTCTGTCAAAATCCTTCTGTATCTTAAGCCTGTCGTCTGGAGTGTTGGCTATTCCTGCTAGCTTGGTGTTGTCTGCAAATTTGATGAGTTCCCCATCTATCCCCTCATCCAAATCATTGATGAATATGTTGAAGAGAACTGGTCTTAAAAACAGAGCTTTGGGGTACCCCACTGCATACTTCCCTCCATGTAGATGCAGTTCCATTGAGGACTACACATTGAGTGTAGTTGGTGAAATGTTACATGAGGTGGACTCTTACATTTTATTACTAAGGTTTTTAACCCTTAATCTATAATACATAGATTATTAGTTTAAAAGGCGTTACTTTTTTTTCCTTTTTAGTATATATTTGTCTGTGTGTCTCTGTCCTATAGATATAAAGTGATTTTAAAAACCAATTTAACCACTGCATTGCATTAAAAATGAAAAATAACCCACCTTCAGTTATTTTAAATTATGAAACAGTAACTATTAGAGATAATCTACCAGAGAAGAATTCAGATTTACTACTCAAATCTAAGATTTCGACTAATAGTAACAACCACAACAACAGTACTGTAAGGAAGTCATTCAAATTCTGGTTTGGATATGAAGGCACCTCGTTTTGTGGCTGCATGATGAGGTCATATTTGACAATATCACAGATTTGTTAGAGCTTAGGAAGTTCCTAATGCTATATCTGCATATGATATTTAGCCCAAGACCCTTAAAGTCCTTGTACCTTAAAATTACTGTATTTTTTGGAGTATAAGACGCACATACCTTTTTTGGTGAAGAAAAGAAGAAAAAGAAATCTCCCTCTGCCTCTGCCTCTGCCTCTGCCTAATTTTGCCTCGTTGCAGCAAACAGCAAACAGCTTGGTTTACTTTCATTTTCAGCATAACTTGATTAGCACAAGGAAAAAAAAATCTGCTCCAGCAATTTACCTCTTTGCAGCAAGCAGCAGAGCCCTGAGCAAAACAGCTGAAAGCAAATCAGCTGAGAGTCGGGAGGCCGATCCAATCAACTTGTGCTAATTAGGTTGTGCTGAAGCTGAAAGGAGTTTTTTTCTTGCGCTGTTTGCTTGCAAGGAGGTAACTGCTGAGAGCCAAAGGGTGGGGGCCAGTGGGAGGGCAGGGCTACTACATTTGGTGTATAAGACGCACCTAAATTTTCACTCCCTTTTAGGGGGGAAAAATGTGCATCTTATACTCCGAAAAATATGGTAATTTTGTTGCCTGAGATTTCTAGTCTTCAATCTGTATACTCTGAACAAAGGAGACTCATAGTCTATCAATGTTGTTCATAATTAACAAACAATGTCTTGAACTGAAACTGAACAATTTTGATCGCACACCTTATATGTATTCAGGTAATTAAAGGGGAATATCTAATTTCTGTTTGATTTTTCAGTGAACTAGTCACCATCAGATTGATTTCCAAGACATAGGATTCTAAAGAAAAAAAAAAATTTTTTTTTTGCTAAGTTATACTGAAGTTGGTAACTGGAAAAGAATCATGTTCATAAAGCAGCATTAGGAACTTCCTGAGCTCTAACAGATCTGTGATATTGTCAAATATAATAGACAAATATAATATTGTAGCAGTCTATATTCTTTTCTCAGAGGAAATAAAAATGTGTTTGTTTAAGCATCTGTACAGATGAAGAATAGTTTCACAGTAAAAAAAGGCTGCTGAAAAACCACATGGAAATTTAGATCTCAGTATGAAATAACAGTTGCTTTCTTATGTTGAATCACGAGTGATCAATATATATTTTAGTTTCATTAAAATTATATACATTTTTCTTACATTAGTAGATTAGATTATTATTGTTATATTTTACCTTGTACACCTATGTATTTATGGTCTAAGTCCAAGTCAAAACATTTTAAAATACAGAATACCATTAATACATGCATACATACAGTAACAGTCACTTTCTCTCTCAGCCCTAGAAAGGATGCAAAGGCAAACCATTTCCAAAAAACCTTCCCAAAAAACCTGCAGTTGCCAGGAGTCAACACTGACTCAAAGGCACCCCCACCCAACACACACACACACACACACACACACACACACACACACACACAGAGAGAGAGAGAGAGAGAGAGAGACAGAGAGAGGGAGGGAGGGAGGGAGGAGATGAGGGGGGATTATTATCCTTTATTCAATAAAGCTAACTTTGCTGCCATTAAATGGTTTTAATATATTTGAACATGTACTATTGGGTATGGCAGGAAACAGTAAGTGGACTGAAGCTGACACATAGGCAGAAAGTACGTTGAGGGATAAATAGCAAAAGACACCCTCAGGTTCTCTAAATTTATCAAAAGGTATAAAATCTCTGGTTTAACCGAAGGATTATTGCTTTCTTTTGTTAATAAGGCTGACCAGATATTTTAGAACTCATCATGGTCACTGGAACTTTATATTTTATTTCTCAACCTATACTATAAATAGCATAGTTGTACAATAGGATACCATAAAATAAGAGATTATTCAAAAGATGTTGTTTTTCTATTTATAGCCTTCATTTCTTATTTAACCGTGTAGATAAAATTTCCAGTACTAAGAAGCAAGAAGAAATGTTTTTTTGCTTTGGTGCAAAAAAGGAAGAAGAAGGAGAAGAAGATGAGGAGGAAGAGAAGGAGAAAGAGGAAGAGGAAGGAAGAGAGGGAATATTGCCTAGAAAAGCATATCTGAAATACAGGAATATTAGTATTACTGGTATTGGAACACACATTTTATTACTATTTGAAGAAATAATGGAGAACATTAGGTGTTCTTTTTATCCTGCATTTTAGTCTCACCTTATATTCTTGAATGATTCCATTTTGGTGATCTGGAGGAGGTGGATCCCAGGAAATACTGATACTGGTACTATTGTGGTTTCCAACAGTCAAAACTGTAACAGATTGTGGAGGGGCACTAGGGGCTATAAAAATGGAACAAATAGAAAAAAAGGGACATGGTGAAATGTACACAATTGGTGTTAAAATAACGAACTTAAAGCTATGGACTTGCAGGGAACTATTAAAAGACTTGTTATTCCAAGTTCAGAATGACGTATGGCTCTCTATGTACCTGAAAGGAAACCAGCTGCATAGGTTTGGTAGAATGTCAAGATTTGCAGAAGTACAAAATAGATGTTTAGATAAAACTCTAATAGTGAAATAAAATAAAAGAACCCCAGATTGCATGCCTTACAATCAAGGAATACTGAATAACTTTGGGACAAAAGATTAACCTACCTGCTATCCAAACAAAGTAGTTAATTAAGATGCAGACACAGGAATACAAATCATATTAATTAATGTGATTTGCATCCTTGTTTGTATTCACCAATAAGTAACATCTAACAGTTCAACCTTGATCTGTACCATTATAGTAGTATAATAAGTTATCTCAGTATAAATTAAAATACTTCCTTGGCAGGTGTTGCTGTTATTAAATGGACTTCAGTCATTTGAAAACTTTTTTCTCATTTCCCTTGCTACTGGTTTGTAGGTATTACCATGCCTACTTCTTGACAGGTCAATTATTCCATTGCTCAGCTCCTTTCCCCAGATATGAAAACGGCCAAATCACTACTCATCTTTTTCAGATGGAACAAAACAGAATTCCATTTGTTATTTTCACAGAGCCAGAGGCCAATTGTTTTAAAATCTTTAGGCAGGATAGGCTTCAGAGGAAGCATTTATTTTAAAATTTGATTTACTTGGAACTGGCAGAGCATTTTGAGGTATCTGTTTTCCTGACAGAAATGTACATTCTAGTACTAAAATAGTAAGAATTTCGTAAAATATCTTCAAAATTGTTATTCAAAGTTTTATATTAAAAGTACTTCCAAAAAACACATGGGTCATAGTATAAAATGGGCTGTTTATAAAAAGACTGCTCTTTTTTTCTGAAAAATAAGCCATAAAAATCTTGGAGTTTTGCCTGAAAAAATATAAATTGAAGATAATTACGAAGATAATGAAAGATTTTTTTTTAAATTTAACCAAGGTTGTTCCTTTTTGAAAAACATGTAAGTCTATAAATAGGGTACTATGATATAGATATACTGCAAGCTTTTGTTTTTAAAAAAACAACACCTGACATTTAACTGTTGACAGTACAATTTGTTATAGTCTTTTGTGGTAATGAAGGAGACACCCAGAAGCAGAGTGGCTGAAGGTTACATTAATATCACAACAGCTACAGACTGCGAGTGTAACATATCTATACATAGAGATTCCTAAAAATCTTTGCTCTACGATGATACGAGACTACCTGCTTTACTCATCTGTAAAATAGCAGTTACAATAAAAATGGAGCAACTCTTCAAATAACATACAGTTTTAGAATAACAATTTTTTTTAAAAAATGTAAGAGCTCATACAGCAAATAGAAGAAAATAAATACACATTTAAAACATAGTCTTCAATTTGTTTGATCATTATTAAGTTATATTTTTCTCTGCTTCTTGTGTAGGATTAGGTATGCTAGAACACACACAGAGAGTGTATGTGTACAAATAGATCCTAATCTGGAAGACATCCAGATTAGGATTTATTTGTACTCTGACATACAGATATCATCAGGATTACAAAGAGACTTTTCTTTTAAGAATTGGCATTCAAACTACTTTATCCAGATATTACAGCTGATACAGTAGTTACAGATTTTGTGATGATAAAGAAATCTGTTGTTCTTTTAAGATGTAAGCAAAGAGTTAAGTGATCACTTTCTTATAAAAAAGGCAGCTAAGATAGAACAACTTAGAAAAAAAATAAAAAGAGGCAGTTGACAGTTGTACAAAGCAGAAAAGCAAGAAAAAACTAAAAGCAGACAACCAATATTTATAAAACAAAAGAAAAGAAAGACACTGATAATTTTTGTGACAAACTAAACAATTCTGTAAATAACCATGGAGCAGTACTTATTCTACCCTCTGCTATTTCTTCGCACAATATCATTAGTTTTTTTTAAAAAAGTATCTTTTCAGTAAATTAAACACAGAATATCCCCTTAACCCTTACCCAGTGTTAGATTGTCAAAGAACAGATGAGGAAGGCAAAAATAACCATATATGCCCAAACCTTTTTATAGTATTTCTATGTTTATCATTTTGAGGTATTGTCTGCAAGAATTAAGAAATATTTATCACTGTCCAAAATTAACTAGGAATAAACTTCTGCCCAGATACACTTATTTATACTTCATTTTAAAACAATCTTAAGCATTATAGTGGTCATTATCATATTTGTACCACTGAAACTGGTAAGATAATACAAATATCTAAGAAATACTCTAATATCAATCTTGATTCTATTAATTAATTTTATTGCAATTCTTATTGTACTATTGTGTGAAAGGAACAAAATATTTTAATATTTATCCACACTTTTCATAATGATTGTTTAATCATGTATGTTAACCATTTTTAATACAAATAATTGAAGCTTTTCTTCATAAAGAATTTTATCTACCCTGAATGAAGGCAATTATACGTGTCCCAGGATAATGTTGCAAGATCCAGTCTGGGTCAGTCTACCCCTTTGACTGTTCTAGTTAAGCTGTTTGCTTGTTTTATTTTATTTTCCTGGGATCAAATGGCAGACATGACACTCAAAAAAATATGTGTTCTCTCAACTCAAGCCTCCTAGGCTATAATAAAAAAATAAAGGACCGGTAAATAGGTACTGAGAGGTTGCTGAAGTGTAAAACCAAATACAGCTCTCTTTTAATATACTCACAAAGTTATCAGTGCCTGCTTTGTCTATTATAGATACACACTGTGAAGAAAATATTGTTTTTGCTTGTGCAAAACTTTATGATATTTGCAATAGCATATAACACTCAATAATTGCAAACATATAATTATTCTTTTCGTAATTTTCTTACCTTCCTCAGTGGTACGTGCAGATTTTGATTCACTGTCCATTCCTTGAAATTCATTGAAATATGGACGAACTTTGATATCATATGTGACCCCCTTTTTCAAATTGATAAGGATAGTACTCCGTTCTGTGGGGACATTGACTTCCACAGTCTGCCATGTAGAAGGGGAAGTCAGTCCTGATGTCTGTCGATACATAACTCTATAACCCTGAATGAACTGTGACTGGCGATCAACCTGAAATAAAATTAACAGAAATGGTCCTACCATAAGTGGAAGGAATAAATTTAACTCAGCTCCTCTGAGCTGTCATTCATACCGTGTTTTAAACTATATATTGTACTTCTTTCAGGTTCCTTATTAAGAAAAATGGTTGCTTTCTCATAACTGTGGTTCTCCAAATGATCATAAATACGGTCAACTTTCTTGTGCATGATCAACAGGAAAAATGCAACTAGGAATGTTTTATAACTGAGGACACGTGTGTGTGTGTGTGTGTGTGTGTGTGTGTGTGTGTGTGTATAATGTGCCTCTACTGCTCATTTTCCTGCACTCTCATTTCACTACCCTCAATGCAACAGTCTGAAACTGTACCTACCAGAATAAGTACATTATCAGAAAAGACAGTGAGTCATTGAAAAGGTGAGTCACTGAATTCACAAATCACCAATGGGGTCATGAAGCCCCAGAATTCCAGGCAAGCAATCCATTTTCTTTTTCATACATATAATAAAAAGCTTATCTTTCAATTGGGAAAACTTCTCTTCCAAAAGACATACAGTACCACCTTATGTTTAGGTAATACAATTACTTATAAACTTATATCTATAATGGGACTTTGGGAACCATGAAATAATGAGTAAAGAAATCAGGAAGTATTGAGACAAAGAAATACATTTTAATACCATAGTTTTAGAACATAAAACCCATCTCAATGAGGAAAGCTAGAAAATTAGAAAAGAAAAAAATGTCAAAAACACTACTTAAACTCATGAGCATACTCCAAATGTATGATGGGTAATAATGGCACATACTGCAAAATTATATTTCAGATCACATTCAAATGAGGTGCAGTCAATAAGTCATTAGAATCAATACTGACATTTATGAGTGTCTGTTATTTTTTGCTAGAGTGAAATCTGGAAATAGAATAAAAATTTTGAAAGGAAACTGATCATACAAAAAGGTTAAGATAACTTCTCTGATCACAAAGAAAGAAAAAATTGTGGTCAGTACAAAGGTGAATATGGTTGATGCTGTATTGATGTTGATCATAACTTGCATTCATTTCTGGGATGAGTCAAATTATCTTTTTTTCTAAATGCAACAGACCCTCCCATGTTAAAGTACAGTTCCTTGACAGTTCCTTGACAGTGTTTTACAGGTCTTTCAAAAGGCCCCAAATATATCGTGATATGTCTATGAAATCCAATATATCCAAGGAAAAAGCTATAATTCTGTCAGAACTTGTGTGTGTGTGTGTGTGTGTGTGTGTGTGTGTACATTTACATTTAATTTTGTTAGAGGGAAGAAAGTGTGACAAGAAAGTGTGAACAATCATTGCCGTAACGGGAATAATAAGAGCAGAAGTAATAAAATATTCGTAAAAGACAAATATTTGATAAGATCGTTAAAATTTATAATTATGCTTTTCAAAACTAATATGGTAAATCTTTTAAGAGCTATACTAATCTTGTGTAATGGAATAATATATTTATATAGTAAATATAATATTTATGGCATCTAGGAATAAAAAGTGACAAAATAATAAATCAATGGAATTAGAAGTTTTTTATAGGAATGAAAATCTAGCTGAGTGACAAAATTAAAAATGAAAAGATCCATATTTTGGCATCTTGAAGAAAGAATATAGCCATGCATTTTTGCCTGTGAAACTGGAAGACCAATATAAAGTTTACCAATGAAAATAACATTTAAAATTTGAATGAGAGGATAAAGTGGATGTCAAGACTGCTAAATAATGGTGACCAGGATTGAGAGCAGTGAGCATGGTGTTGGCCATTAAGACGTCTCTCTTATCTTTCCAGAAGAACGAATATCCTGTAGAAGTAAGTCATTCTCAAGATGAACTATATTAGTGTACTTGTTGGGATGAATTACTAATTACCTGTAAATTCTGTGTGCGTAGACAAAAATCATAAACTTATACTGTTCAAAATCTGTAGAGAAGGTGGTTAAGATAAATGATTCCAGGTATAACTATTGCTCCCCCCCCCATCTACTATAAAGAGTCAAGAGAGTGACCTGCAGTTAGAGGATTAGACAGGGCTAACAGGTTTGAAAGTTCAGTTTTGATAAAAGATTACAAAAGTATACTAATGCTATACTAATACTATTAATATTTAACACCATATACAGCCATAATCTGTAGCTAATTAAGAAATGGTGAGGGAGAAAATTGGTTGGATAAGAAACAGTAGACAGAACTCCTTTGCTCACAATAGAATACCTTATGCCACCAGGCTTGAAATGTTGGCTTGGACAACCTAGAACTACACTGCCTACGGTCTGATCTAAGCGTAGTACACAAAATTGTCTGTTACAATGTCCTACCTGTCAATGACTACTTCAGTTTCAACCGCAATAATACACGGGCAAACAATAGATACAAACTCAAGGTAAACTGCTCTAAACTTGATTGCAGAAAATACGACTTCAGCAACAGAATGGTCAATGCCTGGAATGCACTACCTGACTGTTGTTACAACCTCAAACCCTCAAAACTTTAGCCTTAAACTATCTATCGTGGTTCTCACCCCATTCCTAAGTGGTCTGTAGGGGGCGTGCATAAGTGCACCAGCATGACTACCATCCCTGTCCTACTGTCCCCATTTATTCATTCTCATTTCCTGTGTTCATGTCTTTCATTCTTCACAGCTTGCTGAGTTTATTAAAGCTTTTATTTACTTATTTATTTACTGTTATATTGTTTTGGGCAATATCAAGAATAAGCCCAGGGTTAGAGCTAAATCATCTTTCCAATGTCAGTTACCTCTATTAAAATCTCTTTATACTGTTCATTAACTTTTTCAGTGAAGAATCAAGTTCTTACAACAGGAAAAACACATACTAACAAGAAACTAAAACCAGATTTATGAGATCTAGGCATAAATGCATTTAAACAAAACTGCCTTTGTTAAAAACCTTACAGCATATGTTACAATATTAAGTTTGCATTTTATAAACTTCTCTAGATACACTTTAAGCGAATTTATGCCTTGAAAGAAGGACATAATTCACAATAATAGCTTGTTAATACTAAAAGAATCAAGCTGTGTTTTTCAGAAGAACATTAAGCAGCTGCTTTCAAATGAAAGAGTCTGTAAATCAGGACAAATTGTTTTTATACACATTTGAGTTTCATTAATTAAATGTTTTATGGACATAAGAATCTATGAACCTGGCAGTTATTATAATGTACAATTCCTCTTCACATTATATTGCAATAGAGGTGTTAACATCAATGACACAATAATAAGAGTTACCTTTTACCCACATAGTATTTAGGTAATCAATGAAAGTTTGGAATTATGAAACATTCCTGTGATATAATAGAGCAATGTAAATTATTACCTTCAGGGTATTTATGCCTACTGTATTTTATTTGTGCATAAAGAGAGGTACAAATTTAAAGCTGGGAAATACAGTAGTATGATTAAAAGTATATCTGGCTTGCTTCTTAAATAGCTAAATTTCGGGAAACAATGATCAGCATTTGAGTAACCTTTTGTACATGAAATGATACAACAGTCTTCATATATAGAGTCAAACATTTTTGAAACTGTATAAATTACAATGAGTAATTATAGTTATTCTACTAACTAAAGATGTGTTTGCCAATATAATTTGCCACAGAAATGTAAAAAACCCTACCACATAATCTAATTTTATATATTATTCTCAAGTAATTTGAGAATCTGAGAAAGAAACAAGATAAATATAAGCTTTTCTACCAGTGGTATATAAAGAAATAAAAGTGAAGTTTAATTGAAAGTAACCTGCCATGATGACCTGCAGTTTTCTGTACCAACCAAAGAATAATTAGACATGTATTTGCATCAAAACTCAAAGAATTGGAGCAGCAAGTGGTCACAGTTTGGCTGATGAAACAAGACAGCAGTTAATCTGATTTTAAAAAAAGAGCCATTACAAATAGAACTGACTGTACAAACTTCCAAAAAGAAAACAAACAAAACACCAAAGCAATGGAGGAGAAAAACAAATAGAAGCAATAAATTCTGCCCCTGGAAGCAAACAAACAAACAAACAAACAAACAAACAAACAAACAAACAAACAAACAAACAAACAAACAAACAAGCCCTTATAGAAGAAATAGGCTTTAAGGCTTCAGGAGATGTAGTAACATTGCAAAACTGGTTAACAGAATGGTAGACCCACTAAAGCGCAGAGTGGTTTGTAAGTATGTCCTGCAAAATATAAAGAAGAATGTGATTACTATTGTGGGAAAGCAAAATAAATGTATGATGACAGGACCATCTGCTCATAAACCACACTCTTTTCGAGTTGCCAGGATCCTGGCCACAGAACAACCTTCAAAATGCATCACATCTATTGATATTCCTTCCCATTTATATATAGAGAGACAAGAATTACTGTGAACAACATCTACAACTGTATTATCATGAATCTTGAGTATTTACAAAGAAAGATGTAAGACTGGGATAGTTCAAGTAATCCTTCTTGTCTAGTAAGAGTACCATAAAAGCGAAACAAGAATATTTCAAGCGAATTACAAATGGTTGTGCAAATAGTGTCAGCAGAATAAAATTGTTTTTGAGATCACAGTTTGAACTACCTAGAGTGCTGGCATGAGAAGAATAGACCTCAGAAGAAATGGTAAAAATATTTTAGAGCTTTAAAATGAATTTTGTGGAGATTGGAAACCAAAAATTTAATGGCTAGTTAAATAATTATGTGCTGTTTAAAGGAGTGAAATATGGAAACATTGTATTACTAGGCTCATTAAATCACTCAATGAAAAATCAGAAAGAACTTTGGCTCATGAAGCAAAAATAAAGCTGAGCCTAGTCAAACATTTATTTTAAAAACCTAATAAACTCAGAGCAATAGATTTCTAAGTAAAATGCTGTGCTAATGATGAGAAAAAGAACTGCAAATATGTGAAAGCTCCTAAAAATGAGACACTAAAAGTATAATAGTGAACAATTACAATGAGGGAAAAATGATAGCAGAA